AATCATACTGATCTGACTCTGTGAACCCTGGCTTTGTCTTAGCTAACTTATTTTTTTCCAACATTCTCATGGGCTTTTGCTGGCTGGGTTTTTGTTTTTTCATGACAGGCTTTCTTGATGTAACAGTCCTGGTTATCCTGGAACTCACTCTATAGATCAGGTTGGCCTTAAGTCATAGAGATCTGCCTGTGTTTGCTTCCTGAATGCTGGGATTAAGGTCTGTGCCACTCACTACACCCAGCTAGCTTTTAACATTTATTAGTTTAATAGGCAGGTTATGAAGTTTCATAAGGCATTTTCAGAGAAGGCCATAACAGCTCTCTAGTGCTACAGTTTAGCAAGAATACATAAGAGCTCTATGTCAAATTCCCACAAGTCATGAAATATTGTAATATTCCATGCTAAAAATTCATTTTCCCTGTTTAAAATAGTAATTCAAAAAAAATCTAGGGGGAAAAACAATTGCAGTTCTTAAATGCTATTTATCTCATAGGAGAATGGTGTGTGTATTCGGCGACGTCAAGATTTCCCTCTTGATCAGTTTAGCTTTTGTGTCCACTCACCTTCCATGCACTCATTCACAGACTCATAGTCTGCATAAGTCCTGCCTTCTGGCCTCTTGGTAGGCTGTACCAGCAAAATGGTGTGAGACTGAAAGGAAAAAACAATTTCAATGTATATCCTAATATGCATTTCAGAAAGTCATAATCACAACATTGTATATGACACAAATGTTAGTTATTAAAACATAATTAATTAGGTTGCTCTTCCCACAATATGGATGCCGCTGTCCAAGTATGTGATCAGTGCTGGGTTTACAACTCCCCTAAGTCAGCACCTTACTTTGGGTCATTTCTCCAACTCCAGATATACCTGCCAGCAAGTACTCACAAAAACCTGTCCACTGGTTTCCAGCTCTATTAACGCTGAGAGAGAAAAAGAGAGGGAGGGAGGAAAAGGGATACTATAATCACTGGGTCAACCTAAGGTCTTTTGACACCTTGAACACAATAGTGGAGACACACTTTTATTCAGAAATTACTCTCACATCAAGGTGTAAGATAAATTAGTAATATAAAATGTATTTAGTAAATACTATCCTAAAACAAAACAAAACAAAAAATCCATTAAACTATTGAACCTAGTAGATGACTTGCCTTACGGAGCTAGCTCATACCCAAACCACTTACCACACTGCAAGCTACGTGAATGCACCCTAAAACACTGAAACTGCTCCTTTCCTGCTCATTGGAGGTGGGCGGAGGTGTTGGGGTCATCATGGTTTGACTTCTCATATTTTGGGACAGAAATGAATTCTTTGGGTTTGTCCTGTGCATTGTAGGATAATCTGTGGCACCTACTCATTAGACGCCACTAATACCAACTCTTTCAAAGTAGGAATAAATAATCAGCGGGGCGGTGGTGGCGCACGCCTTTAATCCCAGCACTCGGGAGGCAGAGGCAGGCGGATCTCTGTGAGTTCGAGACCAGCCTGGTCTACAGAGCTAGTTCCAGGATAGGCTCCAAAGCCACAGAGAAACCCTGTCTCGAAAACCAAAACCAAAAACAAAAAAATAAATAATAAAAAATGTCTCCAAATGTCCCTGAAGCGAGGAATCTTGCGGAGCGCAGACTCACTGGTCTACTGGGATTATATGGCCTTACCTAATGTTTCCCATGCCTGATGCAACTCCACTGCAAGTCCAATCTTTAAATTATTCATCTTGTTTTCTGGCTAAAAAATAATTCTTTTCTTTTTTGGTTTTCCAAGACAGGGTTTCTCTGTGTAGCCCTGGTTGTCCTGGAATTCAGAGACGCCTCTGCCTCCTGAGTGCTGGGGTTAAGCCACTCCCCAAACCCCACGTAATCAGTTCATTCCTATGTCAGGATGCCCAAACTGTTGTGAGACGATCCAAAAATTTAACTGTCAACAAATTGGAACTGAGACGTCTTGAGAGCTAGGTTTTCTGGATTAAAACAAAAACTTTCAACGGGCGGTGGTAGCGCACGCCTTTAATCCCAGCACTTGGGAGGCAGAGGCAGGCGGATCTCTGAGTTCGAGACCAGCCTGGTCTACAAGAGCTAGTTCCAGGACAGACTCCAAAGCCACAGAGAAGCCCTGTCTCGAAAAAAAAATTCATATACCAAAGAGAGCACTATATTTTCCCACACCCCAGCAAGATTTGAGCTGTTTTGACTAAGTTTAAGACTTGAGGCAAAATTCTTAAGTTGGTAACAAAGGAAACACTAATTTTCACCTGTACTGACATAAACAATGTTAGTGATTTGATCAATAGCCAGAGAAAGCGTGGGATTAATTTGTTTTATACAGGTTCATAAAGGCCAGCTACTCAAAGCACTTCACTATGTCACTTGTAAAGCAAAAAAGTCTTATGAGCCGGGTGGTGGCGCACGCCTTTAATCCCAGCACTCAGGAGGTAGAGGCAGGCGGATCTCTGTGAGTTCGAGGCCAGCCTGGTCTACAAGAGCTACAGGAACCAAAAAGCTACAGAGAAACCCTGTCTCGAAAATCCCCCCCCCAAAAAAGTCTTACGAGAACTATGTACTCTTGTAAAGGCTTATCCTAGACAAGCTATTCATTCTTTGCCACATTTTTAAAACTTTAAGGCAAATTAAGGAATAATTTGAAATAGTAATGTTTGAAAAGTGTACACACAAATCCTGCTCCAACTAAAAACCCGTGAACCTCTCCCAGGCGGGCTGGGGTACTAGAGAGATAGCTGAGGTTAAGAGCACAAGCTGCTCTTGCAAGAGACCAGTTTTTCAATTCCCTGCACCCACAGGGCCGCTCACAATCACCCCAATTCCAGGACAAGACACCCTCTTTTGTCCGCTGCAGGCACTGCATGCAAGCGGCACACAGACATGCAAGCAAAACACCAATACACAGAAAAAAAGAATCTCTTAAGACACCCCCCCTCCCGCCAAAAGCAAAACCACAACGAGAGGGTTAAAGATACAGCTCAGTAGTTAAGAGCACGTGCTACGCTCACAGAGGACCTGAGTTTGGTTCCCAGCACCCACATCGGCCACTCACGATCCCGGTGGGTCCTGGGGACCTCGCACCCTCTTCTGGCCTCAGCGGGCACCTGTACTCGCACGCACAAACACAGACACATAATGTACCAAGTGAAACAAGAGCCTTTACAGAACGGAGAAACCACAGTACCATCCCTGTCGGACTATAGACTATAGACCCTGGGGTCTCTGCAGGCTCCACTCTCAAGAAAATTTAAGAACAAAACTGTAGGCGGACGGACCTGCCAAACCGGGGCAACTGAAGATACTGAAAAAAAGGGAAATACTTAAAACAAAAAAACCCAACCAAATAAACGAACAAACAAAAAAAAAATTGTGGGGACCGCTGAGGAGGCAAAGCAAATCCGACCCCTCCCCCCTCACCGCACGTTCGGCGAACAGCAAGGCGGCGAGTTTGTCAATTTCAGTCATAGGTCTGACACACGTCACCCGGCTATTGTCCCTACAGCTCGCTAGTGCATCTGGAGAGAAAGAAGAGGCACCCCACGCCTTCCCGGCAGCCATCCTCAAACGGTGCATCCTCGGCCCTCCGCACAGCTCGCTCCCAGCAGCCGGCGGGTGCGCAGCCGCAGGGCGGACCAGGTCCGGGGCCTACAGTCAGGCCCCGCGTCTCGGCGTCGGGAAGGGGAAGGGTCGACCCCTGAGCGTGAGCGTGGGGGGCGGGGAGCAGCTCGCTCGCGCTGGATGGGCGGAGACAGGAGGGACGGGAAGATGTACGGGAGCGGGGTGCCCCTCGAAGTTGGGAACCTCCGGCAAGCGCTGGGGCCTCACCATCTCGTTAGATGCTTTGCTGCAGCCGCCGCTAACACCACCGCCGCCACCGCCGCCGTCGCACACGAGCTCAGCCGCAACGCCGCCAACAGCCAATCCCGCGAGAGCAGCCGCCGGAAATGGCCTGCAGCGCGACGCGAAAGAGCCTTTTTGACCACAGAGATTCACACATTTCCGGTTTCTAGAGCGGATATTGACGCCGTTTCAGCCATCTTGCGTAAGGGCTCTGAGCTGTGTCAGAGTCATTTTTGCCACTTTAGCGACAGTAGTTTGCTTCGGGACGCTGCTTTCTGTGCTCCAGTAAGCAGCCAGGTAGCTAAAGTGATGGAGAACGTAACGGTGATACCGGTCTCTTTTTAAAAAAGCCTTTCTAAAAAAATGGCGGCAATATAAGTACCGCGGCTTATAGGTCGGTTGTAACCCGGAAGTGCCCTGCCTGAGGGGGCGGGTCAGACAATCCGGAAGTGGGAGTAATGAAGAGGTGCCACTTGGCGGCCATGGCCGCTGTAGTATTGGCGACTGAGGGTCAGGGCCTGGCTGAGGGAAGTACCATGGGCAGCACCCGGTGGAGGGCAGAGACAGCCTTGTCTCGACTTTGCTGTTGAGTCCTCGGGGCCCGCCGTTGGAGACTTGCAGGATAGCTTGCTCGACCCTAGACTTGGAAGGGAGTTTGCTGGGACTGGTGGGCTGGTCCCTTCCCTGGGGGCGGATCACCTGCGGGGGCCACCCTAGGGAACCAGGTGCCGCCTGGGAAGAAGACACTTGGGCTTTACCTTTTTCCTGCTGCAACCAGATACACTGCCTAGGGGCGTGGGTCGTTGTGGCACCCCCATTCCGAAGATTGAAGAGATCTCTTTCGCTCAATCTCTCCATCTGTTACCCACCGGAATCCCGGTGACTGGCGTCCAAGAGCCTGAGATTTCGCAAAGTTTTCTCTGGTGCTAGTATCAGCAAAAAGGAGCACGCGTCTTAGTGCGTTCGAGAGCAGCGTGCTTCGTGAACACACCGGCTGGTGGCAAGGTTGAGAGACGTGCGAAACTCCCTTGTTTTCTTGGGAAAAAAAAAAAACAAAAAAAAAAAAAAAACCAGACGTTTAAAGAGCCTAAGCGCCTTTTCAGAGCGCTGGAATTCTGAAACCTGGTGGGAGAGAGGACCTGCAGGAGGGCAGAATGGATGATTTTCTCTCCATTAGTCTGCTGTCTTTGGCAATGTTGGTGGGATGTTACGTGGCTGGAATCATTCCTTTGGCTGTTAATTTCTCAGAGGTAAGAAATTATCCGGTTTTTTTTTGTTGTTGTTGTTGTTTTGTTTTGTTTTTGCAGGACGGTGCTAGTCAGTGATATTTGCAAGGAAGCTGTTTCTCAGCTCTAAGGTCTTTTTAAGGAAAAGATACTTAGCAGTTCATAGTAGAAACGAAGTTCACGTTCAGCCCTATAAATCTTTCGTTTGTTTCGTCTGTTTTTTTTTTTTTTTTTTT